TGTACTGACCTCTGCGATACTAGTGCAGCGCTCTACCAATTGAGCTAACAAGCCAACTGGGAGCAGGCCGTTAAGTTGATTCGTAAGAAACCCGTGATGATAAATCAGATACGATGAATATATGAAGTTCATATACGGGCCTGACGACAGTAACAATGGCAAGGCGGCAGTCCCCTAAGGGACTGAAAGCCCGAGTTCACGAAGCTATGCGTCTGGTTAGATTATTTCGTTTGCATTGAAGCTTCACTACAAACTGTATCTGCGAAGCGCGCTGGAAACAGACATTATGATGGCAGCCGAAGAAAACTGGCGGGAAAAACTATCCACTATTGCAGAGCGAACCAAGTTTATTTTCAACAGCGAGTTGTTAAGCGATGTGAAATTTGTTGTAGCTGTGTCGACCGACGAAAGTGAAAGTAAAAAGGTGATCCCAGCTCACAAGTTTGTGCTCGCTCTGAGTAGTCCTGTGTTCTTTGCCATGTTCTATGGTCAAATGGCGGAGACCGGAGACGCTGTTAGCCTGCCTGACTGCGAGTACGGGGGTCTATTGGAGTTGTTTCGCTTTTTGTACAGCGACGAAGTGAATTTGAGCGGAAGTAACGTGATGCAAGTGTTGTACCTAGCGAAGAAATACATGGTTCCTCCACTCGCTGAGAAATGTAGAGAATATCTGCAAGACAATTTGACAACATCGAACGTTGTTAGCATTCTGCCGCACGCTCAGACATTTGAAGATAAAGATTTGGAAGAACGATGGTGGGAAATGATTGGGAAACAGACAAAAGAAGTTGTGGCATCAGATGAATTTGATACAGTTGACAGATCTCTCATAGAATCTGTCGTGAAGAAGGATGAGTTGAATGTAACGGAAGTGGAACTTTTCAAGGTTGTTGATCACTGGGCCACCAAAGAATGTGAAAGGCAAGGGTTGACCTCCGATGGAGAGACAAAGAGGCGAATTCTTGGAGAGGATGTCGTGAAAGAAATAAGGTTTCCATTAATGTCAGACAAAGAGTTTGCTTCTTTTGTCCTTGATTCAAATATTCTTACTCCTCTTGAGGTTGCAGTCATGGTGAAACACTACACGGGTGTTTTACCTGAGGAGGAATGTTTACCATTTTCGCAAGCACTACGAAGGGGTGAATCAAAGCATCATGATTCAAATCGATGCTACCGCTTTTCCAAGATCCTCCAAGTAGGTACGATATATGGTCGGTGGTCTTATAACAGGGGTAATCCTGATCGTGTAAACTTCATTGTAAACAATCCTATTAAACTGTCCGGCATTGAACATTTTGGCTCTGAAGGTGGTCAGTATACAGTATCTACTAGAGTCAACGATCCAACCTCAAACGTTTCTGTTGTGAAACGATCAGGAACATACACTTCAGAATGGGATAATGCTAAAAACTTTTATGGGTTCGATGTATTATTTGATCACCCAGTTCGTCTAGAGGCAAACAAACAGTACGAGTTAGTCTCGCTCATCAAGGGTCCTGTGTCATGGTACGGAGAAGGAGGACAAACGTCCATTAAATCTGGAGGAGTGCGATTCACTTTTACGAGAGGAAAATTTGGTAATGGCACCACCCACCAAAGGGGCCAGTTTCCAGCTTTAATTTTCAGCTGACAGTTATTAACAACACGGAACAGTTCACTATTCGAGCTAGTTTTTTTCCTGGGTAGATGTTTCCTTGTCTGATAGATTATAATACGGACCTAACTAGTTCATCTGTTGGAACTGGGCGATCAGAGTTTTTTTTTTCTTTTATTGAGATACTCAGTGAAGAGTCGTGTACTTTGCACCTATAAATAGAGAAATGAAAACGATATGTAATGATTTCAGCTCGGTAGTTTAATAATGTAGAACATTTTAGTTTAAGTCCACCACGAAGACTCCGACCCTCAGGTTTCGAATAAAGTGACCTTAATACTCTGTCATTGAGTTACAGGGAGCTTGCTGGCGAGCAAAGTCTTTTGAACCTAGAAAAGCGCGTATTAGGGCGTGTTTGTTGAGTGTTAGGATAATGAATTGACAGTACTTAGTTCGATGAGCGGTTAATGCATTTTCAACTTGTTACCTAACAATGTATTAATAAATTTAGGAAAATAACTAAGTGTGGTATTCAGTTAGTCGTTTTTTTTCAATAAAGAAAACAGCAGCTGATGTCCGTTTGTTTCAATTCAACGTCAACTGAACCACTCTTAATTCCTCCCAAAACAAAAAATTGCAGTTTCGTAATTTGCGGAAGTGCAGTGTGATCGTCCGGGTGAGTGTAGTCATACCGTACATGCCTTCTATGCACGGTATGGTTGCTGTAGTCGTAGGAGTTGCGGTGTCGTTTGTTTCGGTAGTGGTAGTGGGTCGGTGAGTGTTTCGTCGGATGAAGTCGTCGTTGTAGTTGTTCTTGTTCGGAGAGACT